TAGCGTTTCTCGTGAGTCTACAATAACTTTATTTTATTGTGTAAATGGTCAATGGGCCCATAACAATGGCAATTAATTCAAAAAGTGACATTCAAGTTTTTTGTCTTGCAAATATTTCGAGCATATTAAAACTTATTTGCAAATAAGGAAAACCCTTATATATATATATATATATATATATATATATATTCCAAAATTACCCGCAATTCATTGAAACTCAATTCAACTCCAATTTCATAATTTACACCACAATTTAGCCCAATTTCACCAATTAACCAATTTTGACCCTAATTTTAATTTTGACCCGTCAACACCAGAGACCGCCGGTCTCCGCCGTTGACATTTTTTTTTTCTGAATTTTTTTTTCCAAGAGGTCAACCGCCGTTGAATTTTTTTTTTCTTAAAAAAACTAGTTTAATTAATATTACTGTCTTGACTGCTAAATTACTGTCTCTAGCAGGTATTTAACTGTCCGAAACAGTAATTTAACTCTTAATTGACTTCTTCTTCTTTTTTCTTAAAAAAATATTTTAATTAATATTACTGTCTTGGCTGCTAAATTACTGTCTCAAGCAGTTATTTAACTGTCGGAGACAGTAATTTAACTGTTAATTGACTTTTTTTTTGAAATTTTATTTTTTCGTAAAAAAAATATTTTAATTAATATTACTGTCTTGGCTGCTAAATTACTGTCTCCAATAGTAATTTAACTGTCTTATGCAATAATATTACTGTTTGGACAGTAATATTATTATTCGGAAAAATAATATTCATAATATTACCATCCCAAACAGTAATATTATTGTCTGAGACAGTAATTTAGCAGTCAAGCCAGAAATATTAATTAAAATGTTTTGTCTAAGAAATTTCAAATTTTCAAAAAAAAAAAAACAAAAAAAAGAATCGAAAAAAAAAGTCAACGCCGGAGACTAGCGGTCAACGTGGTTGACAGGCCGGAAAAAAATTTCAATTTAAAAAAGTTTTCAGAAAAAAAAAAAAACAAAGTCAACACCGGAAAAAAAAATCAGAAAAAAATTATTTTCTGGAAAAAAAAATATTTTTTCAAAAAATTATTAAAATGGGGGTTAATGTGATATATTTGTTTAAATCCGGGGTCAATGTGTAATATTAAGGAAGTTAGAGCATAATGGATGAAATTGACAAAAATTATATTATGGAGGGTATTTTTGACTAAAGACATGGGGATAAGTTTATTTGAAAGACTGTTTTTTTTTTTTTTTTGTGGACCAATGTGCATTTAAGTCCCTTAGGATATGCATTTTTGCCCTTCGCCCTATTTTATTTAACTGGAATGATAAATACATGATGATTTTTAGTAAATGTAGGTCATTTTTCAATTTTAATTTTTAATCACATTCCACCCATTTATCATCTCTTTAACTTTATTATTCTAAATAAAATTCATGGATTTCACTATTATATTTAAATAATGATTTTTAAATGTTGGAATTAAATTGGAAAAAATCATCTATCTAAACTCAAAATTTAGCCATAAATTTGTCTTGAAATTGAAAAATAGAAGTTTCTACTTAGATTGAATAGTTTTGGGTGGTTTTTGTGGATAAAAAAACTACAAAAAACGTTGGAGCAATTTGATATAAGAAAATTCCACAAATTCAGAAAAAACGACCGTATACCGTAGATACTAGTCTCAGTTATGTACAAAATTTGATAAACTCGTATTTTGACGATAAAAATTCGATATTCTAACAAAATTAATGTTTGAAAGAAAAAAATATGAGTTTAATACTAGAATTTAATTTATTAATAAAATGTCCAACGTTTACTATAAAACATCATGCATTTAACGAGCCCCTTTATTTTTTTTTTTTTTTTTGAGAAGAAAAAGCTTGCAATTTTATTCAAACATGCTTTTCAGCAGATATAATGTTACATATTGTAACAGGAAGATTCTCAAGAGCAAAATTTTCCATCTTTGACAAAGCTGCTATTTCATGAGCCACTTGATTTGCCTCTCTGAAAGTATGTTGTATCTGAAAATACTCGAACCACTCCCTCTTCCGCTTAATATCCTCAATAATATTCCCGTACGTAGCTTCGGAGATCGCAGGTTCACAAACTGCGCAGATAACCTCCATCGAGTCACCCTCAATTACAATCCTTCTCCAATTATTTGTTCGAGCCATTTCGACCGCCATGAATGCCGCTTGAGCTTCTGCCGCTGTGGGATCCAGAGGTTGTTTAATGCAGCGAGATGTCCATCCCACACACTCACCTAAGTTCGTCCTTGCGATAACTCCTATACCACATATCCCATCTACCTTGTTTATGGCCGCATCGAAATTTATTTTTTCAACATTCATTTCCGGTCGAGCCCATCTTACAACACCTCTGTTCGTTCGAATGTTTGAGTTCAACACTTCTGCTGTAGCATTCCACAAATCATGCCAATATTTAATAGCAAAACTCACTGTTTCCTTAGCTGCCATGTAAATGCCTTCGAACAATCTTTTATTTCGAGTATGCCATATCGCCCAACACATAACTACACATTTTCCAAGAACCTCCTTACCTGCTTTCTCCTTAATTTCCAATATCCAATCAAGCATAATATTAGTTGATGTATTATATATTGAGAATGGTACATCACTTAAAGCCCAAATTTGACGTGATAATGAACAGAATAATAGGCAATGCATTACTTGTTCGCCTATGCAATTGCAAAAGATACATCTTGATTCATCTACTACCTTTCTTTTCCGCAAATTGTCTGCGGTTGGTAAAAGATCTTTGCATGCTCTCCAAAGAAAGATTTTAACCTTACTAGGCAACTTTAAGGACCACAACCATTTCCAGTCCGCCGCAATATTCACACTCGAGCAACTACCATGACGATTTTCTCCATCAACAGCCTTATGTAGAGCCAGGTGATACGCACTCCGAACTGAAAATCTCCCATTCCGATTATAATGCCATATATAACGAGCCCCTTTATTTAATTTGACTAAATTGAAAAGAGGGATATGATTTGGAAGTTTCGGATTGGGCCCTAACACTAATCTCTTTCTTCGACTTGAAGCAAATAAACTTTTAATTTGACTTTTTTGCCCTTTAAAACGTGTAGTTCAATGAAAGACATCCAATCATCTATTTGTAATGAGATTAATTAATTAATTGTCTTATATTGACTTGTACACTTTTTAAATACTGAATCAGAATTGGGTAATGCTGATGTCATTTTATTATTTCAACTGAAAGAATCTGAGGAATATTCTTCACAAAATAATAATTTGAGAACATGCTTCACTATTTGACAATTGTTTTAACATTCCAATTTTACCACTAAGTTTGTATTTTAATTTTTAACACATCACTCTCGAATAACAATATATATAATGATAAACAATTATTATATAATAGCTGCTTACATATATATATATATATAATTACAGAATTAGAAAGAAAAAAAAAATTGCATCATTTTGTACCTTTTCTACTACAAACTTAATTTTATGATATAAGTTTCACTTCTCAAATTTGAGAGATCAAACTTATAATTTAAGCAAGTGTGCTAATTTTTAGAACAACTGTTGCTGATTGATTTGTATTGTAAAAGTTGATAAATTTGTAAAACTTAACAAATAAGAAGTCTGTTGGAGATGCTCTAACAGATATATAATATAACAAGGGACTTAATATATAATTTGAATATTGTTATTACAAGTCGACTTGCAGCCCACAATATAAATAAAAAATAAAAATAAAACATATGTATAAAATTTTCAACTAAAATACTCATCAGCATCACTATACACTAGATAAAAAAATTTACAAATCTTATATATAAATATGGGTAAATTACATGCACCCACACCCCTGAGATATGCTTAAATAACTTTAAGGTCCCTGTGGTATCGATAATTACACTCACCCCTTGAAACGTAGTTATAAACGTAGTTGTAAATTATCCCGTTAGAGTGTCTAACTACATTTCAGGGGATGAGTGTAATTATCGATACCATAGGAACCTTAAAATTATTTAAGCATACTACAGGGGTGTGGATGTAATTTACCCTATAAATATATATATCATTATATATGACTATGTTTGAGTATAGGAATATATGACTGTATCATGGAATCTTGATGATGAGAACTGTATAAGTTGATGTCATTGTTGCCTGCCATTAAAGTTGTTGCAATCAATTCTAATGAACTCCACCTTCAAAGTACAAGTGAACATTCACTACAATATAATCAAACAAACATAGCATAAATATTCTAACCAAAAAAATAAATAGAAAAACAATAATTACACAAACTCAAAAAACATAAACAAAATCAATAGCAAGCTATGTAGCACAGAAACTTCAACTTCTTAACATTTTCGCGTTTCGAATACGTTTCGTTTGGGACATTCGAGGACACCTGCCAAATACCTTATGGACCATTTTGTAATTTCTAAAAAGTTATAAACATGTTTGAACAGCAAATTACTTTTGTTGCTTCCCTAATTATTTACACGATTTAATGATAAAATGCAAATTGATATAGTAAAAAGAAAATTGAATATGTTTGTATGAAAAAATAAAAGGCGAATTTATGTATAAATAAAAATGTATACATGTTTATACAACATATTTATAAGGCTGCGGCTATATGCAAGACTAAAATCACTTGTGCAAGATCAAATTAAATTTTTCAATGTATAAATACTATAATACCCTTACTTGTTAAAAAATAGAAAATTCCAAATATGCAAGACCAAAAATTCAAAAACACAAAAACCCCTATCACAAGACCACAAGACCAACTATCATCTTCTCCATCTTGCAAAACCCACAAGACCTTTCTCCTTGCTCCTCCATAAACCCACAAAACCTAAACATTCAAAATCATCAAAACTCAACAAATCTTACAAATATGGCAAGTATGGAGTTAGAAGACATCAAAATAGAAGATTCTACGGTGGAAGAACCCAAGAAGGTATGCATTTATGGGTTTTTTTAGCTAGAATATCGTTTTTCCAAAAAAAATCCCGTGCAAACGAATTCGACATGTACATGTCGAATTTTATGGGTAAAAATCGACATTTAGATGTCGATTTTGAGGCATACAATTCGACATTTGGCAATGTCGAATTTGTGCTATAAATTCGACATGTCAATGTCGATTTTTACCCATCAAATTCGATGCTTAAGTGTCGATTTGTAGCACAGTTTTTCGACACCTTGGTGTCGATTTTTACCAGTTTCAAATTTAATTTGTTTTTCCTCTTTTTTTGTAAGGTTGAACAAAATGAGGAAGGTGGGCGTAGGTGGTGGAGCTTGGGCGGCGGAGCTTTGACGGCGGAGAAGGTGGGCGTAGGTGGAGAAGGTGGGCGTAGGTAGGGATTGAGGAGGGGGGCTGTTTGTTTTTTTAATTCACGCATTCTTTTTTTGTTTTTTGTTTTTTTTTTTTTTTTTTTTTTTTCCTCATTATTTGTATTTGGTCTTGCATGAGAAAAAAAAGTCAATTTAATTTATGGGTATATTTGTCATTTCATCTTAATAAAATAGAATCTTTCTTTAATTTAATCTTGCACAAGTGGAATTAGTATTGCATATAGCCGCAGCCTATTTATAATTATACCCTATAATTTTAACATGTACACATTTCCCCTAAGCTCCGATATCCGATCCCCATTTTAGGATATATTGTTTCCCGTGTCCGTTTTAATATGTACATATTATTAACTAGTTAATTAGTTAACCAGTTAATTATGCACAAGTGCTACTAAACATGCAAATGCAAGTGCTACTTATTAGGCAACAAAATAACAAAACAAGACCTATTCTCATGCACTTATTTATTTCAATTTACAGATTATGAAGAAATGTAAATGGGTCTGAGAATTCTATTTTAAAAATAGGGAGAAACGCCACTCATTCGGAAACACGTGTACATCTTTAACAATAATTAAAGTATACAAATTAGAAATTGTTTATTAAATATTAACATAACTAGTACTGGTTGTGGGTTGAGAATGAGTTTATTTTGGCCACTAGATAATTTCTTTTTAGTGTCTTTTCGTTTTTCTGTTTGCCATCTGAAGTTTGAAATATTCCATTTTTATTTTTTGGTTTTTTGTTCTTCCAGAAACATCGATGTCGATTTTATTTTATTTTCCATTCCGAATCTCGAATGTAAAGCGCAAACTGAAGATGCAAAATACATGGACATACACACACATGATTCTTGTCAACTTTCACTTGTAAAATGGCCACTCAGCAATCTAAAACTTATTTTCTATTTACACAATTCGTCCCCACCCAAATACTAGTGGTTGGTATTTCAGTTGAATTTTCAAATGAGTCTAGTTCCAGCATGTTATATTATCAACTTAAAATTGATTTTGAAATGTTTTTCCACTTGTTCATTCCGGTCGAATTATATATATATATATAAAAGAATCTTCTACGGGTGTGTACGGGTCGGGTTGGCAAATTGCCAAACCAGAACATGAACTAAAAGCTTTCGAAAAAGTTGAGACCATAGTCAGTAGCATCTGGTACAAAGTGGTTTTTCTTGAACTGTAATTCGAGGCTGGTAAGGCAACTCCATCAAAAGAATAAAAAATGAATTATAGAGAATCCGATGCAATATATATATATATATATATATATATATATATATATATATATTCAACATGCGGAAAAGATAACAAATGAAAGACTTTCGACTTTCGCCTTTCGAGAAGCATAAAATCCGGAGAACAGCATAAGTTTTAAATACAGGCAAGTGCTTTTTTATGTACACTTTTCTTCAACAATATCTTTTTTGCCAGGCAGAGAGCATTACACTATAACCGGTACATACAACATGAAATCTGATTAAAACTTTACAGAGGCAGATAATTTTTTCTACGCCTCTCAATATCTTGATAAGTTGTACCAACGAGTCTGGTAAGGAAATCGCGTTGCATTAGATAGAACAAATTTTGATCGAGGCAAATAATTTTTCCAAGGCTCTAAATTCAAAAAACGAGGCACCTGGAAGTTTAGCACAGCACCAAAAGACCAGTGGATACACTAGCTTACGGAAGATCGAACATCATCCGAGTCTACTTTCAGCTGATATTTTTTCCACAAAAAAAAAAAAACACAGTGAGAATCATAAGTCAGATTATTAACCAACAAAATTATTTTTTTAAAACGGAGGTAAAATTCAAAGAATAGATACGTACAAGATTGAGATGGTTGACTAAAACCCGATGCAATAACTTTTTCAGCTTTCCACATTGGTCAATCCTGTGACCTGATTTGATTGATTCCTCAAGAAGGCACCATAGGCGTTCGACGGAAGTATATGGAAACCAAGCAGCAAACGGCCTTTTTCGACGGATAACATCAGCCGGTCGCTGCAGATAAAAGAAACAACCAGGTTATTGAAATCAATGCAGTGTAGCCATAGCTTCCGACAGTATTGCCACAACTTCAAAAAGTCCAAATACCAAAATTACAATAAAGTCCAAAAACAATTAAACTTGGAAAAGTAGAGGCACGACTTACAAGTGCTGAAAAGGTCTCAGTGTACTCGATTAGCAAATTGACAGCCTCTGTATATCGGCCATGATCAACATACAGGCGAAATAGGGATGCTGAATTGGACTCGGTTCCAGTCATTCCAAATCTACTTTCGTTGCGATCACCCTGTCACAATCACAACCCAATGCTAAATTAGGAAGGAAACTACCATGCGCCTTTCATTTTATTTATACAAAGAAATACGACAAGAAATTTGGGCTATATGTTGTTCTATTTCTATTTTTTTTCAAAATCTATTTTTTTTTCAAAAGTAAGGCCTGCAACACACAACAGTTCAGATGCTACAAGAGTCGGTCGATTCAAATTCAAGATACTAAACAGTTCTGAAGCAGGAACTTTTTGCAATTAGTGATTCCATAAATTAAGCTCTGAATCGTAGGAGTCAAAATGCCGATCTCCTTGAAGACCTATTCAATATTGTGATAGTATTGACATAATAAAGAAAACAGAATCCTTTATAGACCCCAGTATGCTCTTGTCCTGTTTGAATTGAATTCTACAAACAGTCGCAACCATAACATACGAATTGCAATCAGTTAACTAGAAAAGTTGATAGACATTGTTTCTTCATGTAAAAAAATCATAACTAGTTAAAGATTATTGTATACAGTAATGTAGCATCCAGAAATTTTGCAAATATTAATGCCTATGTTAGAAGTACGACCCGTAGCCCGCTACTCAAATAATTAGAAATGTCATTACAAACTACCAAACAGCCCAAACACAAATAGACTGACAAAAAGATCTGGTTAAGGAGGCACAATGCTTCAACCTATGAACTGTTTTGATGGAGGAAATGTATAGCTGTTTTAAGGAACAAAATACGAAAGACTTAATTTCTTAGACATGTCTGATATTGAAAGACAAGGACTCGTAGCATAGCATCAGGAAATTATATATTCCAACTGCAGGAAGTATATGCAAAATTTACCTTGAAATGTCGAACCAACCAAAGTGGCAACTCTATTTGAGAATCAGCAGAAAGAAGAGTTCCAGCAACAATTAACGGTAATCTGGGATGAAATTGCCTGTATTTATCCTGCAATATATGACCATCTAATTTAACATCTCAGACACATAAACGACAAGTAGCATCAGAAGTAGCTTGAGAGGAGAAAGATAGTGTAAAAATCATATACAACAACTACGACCTCAAACCCGTCTCGATTTGTAAGCCAAATAAATCAATACAACAAAATTTGAATAACATAGAAAATGTAAAGTATTTACTGAAAAAAAAGATAATCTGAGCACACTGAAAAAAGGGTAATAAGAAATACGAACAAGATAGAGTTCAAGTGTTTCCCAATGGCTATTCCCCGCATATTGCTGTGCGATTGAATCTGCATCAAATGAATCATGAACTAACTCATCTTGTGATGAAGTCAACAAAAGACCGTGCATTTTACGACCTTTCCTGAAAAAATAAATACTTGCTCTTAGTTGACATATGAAGCATGGACAAATCTTCCGAAAGCTCATCTATAATCATCAGAAAATTAAGGTAAAACTCAAAACTCATCTATGGTACGACTAGCAGAAATTAAAAGATCTGGTTTGGCTCATCCAGATATGGAATGATCAAAAAGAAAACATAGTGGAGCTATGAAATAAACGAATATCTTCTTGTACTTACCCATGCAATGATGGAGCTAGTTTGCTTGGGCAGCATTTCAATGCCATTGAAATAAAGACTCTTTCAAGTTCCCTAACAATAGCCATAGTGTGAATAATAGGCACATAAAAAGAGGAACTTTAACTATATGGCACTAACAGTTCCAAGAAGAAAGTCTAACCTTTTAAGACAAGAACCCTTCCAAAACTTGAGGATCACCGTAAAAGCCATATCACATGAATTTGATTCAACCAGCAGATCAATAAGGTTGGATGACGGTGTCTCATTTCCTGATACAAAAGGCGTAAACTTAGAAGCAAAAGTATGATAGAGACGAGGCTCGAGTGCCAGTGAGCAAAAGGAAGACCGAGTATATTAAGTTCTGTGAAGGTAGTCTTTATGTATTTCATATTATGCCAGTATTAGTATCAATCATATAATCATACCAGTAAAGGTCCACTTGATGTTTGCCAAAGAGAGTAAGTACTCTGCTGATGTTAAAACAAACTCTTTCTCAAGTTTCTCAACATCTATAAATGATGGCAGCTTTTGAGGCAGATCATCATCAGGAGGAGCTGAAACAGAAGAAGGAGAATATGTAATCCATCAATAGACAACAGATAGTAATATCGAAATAGCACATCTGAAATAGTAATGTATTTTAGGGAAATATTTCAAATGACTCCATAGTAGATGGATCTTAAATCCACCAAAATGAGTCAAAATAATAACTCAATATGGGAACTTAAGGAAATCTATCACTCAACACGAACATCAAGATCTCTTAAAAAAAGTTCACTGTAAAGGATGATTTACATTGGTCTTGCTTGGTTGTTCTAGCCTTCTTATTTGGATGGTTTTCTCTGTCAATGGATGTTTCATCAACTGAGGCATCAATCCAAGCATATGAAGGATTAACAAGCTGCAAAGCATTAATAGCCGCCGCAAGTCCATTCAACCTCTCTTGCAGAGTCGAAGACCTCATTTGATGATCTTTTACTGCTGCTTCGGTTCTCAAACGCACTGAATAGAGGTATATGTAACTTGCAGCTTTACGCCAGTTATGTCTGTGCATCTCAAACGCATAAAGTAGTTTGAAAGCGTTTGGCTTGGTTGAAATATCAGATCGCTCTGCCTGCAAAGCAATTGCGTAGATAACATAAATACACAACGAAGTAAACCAAAAACAGAAGATGACAGACAAATCATATCGAACCTTCCAGGCAAGCTCTCGTTCCACCTTCTGCACTAATCCAATCAACGGTAACTGGCCATCACAAAGTATCTGTGGAATTTGAAAACACAAAAAACTCACCAGAATTAATTCTGAAAACATTTTTGTAATGTTGAAGTACTTCAGTCAATATTCACCTAACTGAAAATCGGTATCTAAAAATTGGATACTAAAAACAATGACCGGGGAGGGGTGGGTGGGTGGGTGGACATCATGAAGCTCAACTTCGTAATGGTATAACTTTACAACTACCTAACATCTATGCAGGTCACTTAGAACAAACAAGCCATTAAGCAATTAGTAAATGTAGTAATAGGTTTGAGATATCAGGCATAATATCTGACTCTCCTACAAAAAGATTTCAAGATACGAGGATAGATAACAAATACACAAAACCTTAACCTGCATTAGACTGATGACGAAGTCCTAAATTTGGTCTAGAAAGATTAGAAGTCAGATATAAAATTTGTCTGATCCATCCATGGCATTTCTTCAACTCCCAATATTAGAAAGCTTTGATAGTAATGAAGCACAAAATGCATGGAAAGAGGGAAATACTCCGGGAAGAAAATAGATAGAGACAAAGAGGAAAGAATTGCCAAAACCTTTACTGCACCACGCTCATAAAGAACTATGATGAAACGCCTCAAACAAATAGTCTTGCTTTCCTCGTCTGGATTTGATATTATTGCACAATATGCATCATTGTATTTATTAATATCCAAAGTGAACTTAAAAACATTCGCCCAAAGTCTGCCTTTCATAGTAATCACTGTTTCCCCAAGATTCTCGCTGGAGCTGGAATCAATAGTTTCAAGAGCTACATCAACTTGCTCAAGTGCAGCCAGGGCAAATTGGCAAGCAGCTTCACTCAGATTATATTGTTCAAATAGCTGCATCACCCACTGATAATATTCAACTTTCCATGCAGCAGCTGAGAGAGAACTACCTGGGAGAGAAATAATGAACTACTACATTAATCGAGAAGCAATAGCACATATACAGAAATTTAGTAAGGGGCAAATACAATAAATTACGCAGTACAGTGTAACGTAACTGAAATCAATTCGCAACCATCCTGCTTCCTGTGGTAAACTTTGCAAAGCTTTGGAAAATCCTTCCACTGACGCAGCTCTGAAGAACAAATATTTGTAAAAATAAACAGAAATTCCTTTTATATGTTGATAAATTGGCTTATTAAATCAACTTAGATCACCAAAGTAAGATCTGATAGATATTCCTCTAAACCAATAAGCCCTGGACATGCACAAGCACAACTAAAAAGACATAGCTGAACAAGTCCCAGAAAAGGTAACAGTTAAAAGGAAAGACAAACCACAGATATGTCATATGCATCTACAATTTCTTCCAATCATTTTCGAAAAACCTAGGCTACGCATTCAATTTCATCATCGCCAAAGCTGAAATCATGCGTACAAAATTCTTACATACCTGAAAAAGCAACGAAGTGCCTCTCCAACTTTTTTTTCTTTAACCGGTCCATGCAATCCATGTTGCGTCTGAGCAACAAGAGAGCATCCAAGAATATGGAGAAGAGCAGACATTTTGCCATCAACAGACTGAAGGCTCTCAAATGTTTTCTCTTTGTGTAAATATTCATCCACCAAAGTAAGCAAATACTAGAAGAAAATGAAAACTTGTCTCAGCATTCTTTTGTCCAAAATCTAAACACATTAATAGTAGATAAAAAATAAAAAGCAAGAAACCTCAGTGGCATTGTATTGGTGGTGTCTAAGTAAGATTAGCGCAAGATCAATTGAATTGCTGAATACAGAAGATTCTTCTCCACTTCTTCCGCTAGTTATCCAGCTGATGAACTCCTGACTCGAACTAATTAAGCTGTTGGGGTTTGGAAGTCGACCAACAGAGAAGTTCCCCAGTTCTACAGAGGAACTTTGCATACTCAATAATAGGATAAATGCCAAGGAAAAATCACATTTGCCAAGCTTCACATTCCAGAATCTTTTATCCACGTTGTTATCTGACAATTGGAAAGCATTAAAAAGAAACAACTCAGGAATAAGTCTAACGGTCTAGCATTGGAAACTTAAAAAACAGTGAACATAAACTCCATTGCATAGTTACCCAGTGATCAGTGATGCATCACATTTCTAATAAGCAATTCTTTTGTACCAATACCATAAAGCTCAATGTCAGTATAAATTAACTTATCTCAGAGCAATGTGTTAGCATATGTTTATTGATAGATGATCACATGCATATGATGGCAGTATGCAGAAACAAAAGGAGCAACCAAAAATAAATTCATCAAAGCTCATTTTGTCCTACCAATTTGTAAGGATGAAAGCTGATGACTAAAATCTTCAATTGCAGGAGATTCAGATGATGTGGTCCCAAAGAAACGGATAATATGCCACTCCGTAACAACTTCTTGAATCATTGGAATTAAGTCGAGTTTAACCCTTGAAACATCGTCATGTGTGAAGTTAATCTGCAAGAGAAAGGGAATAAGTTGCTTTCTTGAACCAAAGAAAAAAGAAAGGGACTGCAGTTCCACTCACACAGAGTTTCACACAGTTAAGATCATAGCATGAGAGCATAGCATTCATAAGATAAGAAAGTGATAGAATTATAATATGATCTTTTCAAGCTTCACCATTCATGACAATTGACACAGAATTTCCAATTAAAGCCATGTGTATCTTAAATACTCAAGGAACCCGAGAGATATCAGATTTAGCTTCGTTATTGTTCTGTCAATTGGGTGGGGACATGCAGTTATTCACATGAATTAACTCAACGATATACACTCTCTGTCCCCTCAAAGATGAATATTGAACAAGTAATTTTTTTCCAAGAATGTCAGACGAATATGTAGCAGAAATGAATTTACACCACGAGAATAAAGAACATAAAACACAAATAATATCTCCTGCCGCAAAAAAATAGAATATTAATTGGCATTGAACTATGTCTTCTCAGATGAATCAATTTAGCAAGAGCACTAGTAGAATCAGAAAATAGACTTCATAATCCAGAAAGCCAAACATTTCGCTCTATAATAACAAAAGGTCTAACAACTTTACAATGCTAACTGAGAAATTATCCTATAACAAAAATGGTCTTGCAGGATTCATGTGAAGTAGGTCTTGTATACTTTATAGGAATTTCACTCATCTTGCCACAACACGTTTCCATAGGGGGAACATATTGACAGTCAATGTGATTGTTTTTTTTTTATAAATAAAAGAAAGAACTCATTGATATCTTGATAGTTCAAGTAGGTGCTAAAAAGTACAGAACTGCATCTTAGATAATTTCTGAAAGACGGTCAGAAAAAAAAAAAGCAAAGTGAGATATTCAGAATTCAATTTTTTTAATGTGCAATGTAGTTAATGCAAACTGACCTGCCCACTGATGCTAATCATATATCTTAGCAGCATAAGAACATCCAATACAGATTCAAACATCACTTTGGCAATTTGGGAAGTGGACTGCACTACAGCAGAACCACTTATAGGGAAAAATGCTTGAGCACCAGATTTAAGTACAATTTTCTTAGGCACGAAAAACTGTATGTAGCTCTCGACCACATCCAAAACCTTGCTCCACGAGTTAGCTTTCTGGCACAATGATTGAAGGGACAAAAACATATTTGTCGAAAATTTTCTTAAGTTCCTATGATTTGACAATTCTTTCTCCCAAGCAATATCAGCTCCGAGTTCCGATATTAGTATAGCTGCAGTTGAAGAACTATAACCGGTTTCTAGAATCCTTAGAAAACGAGAAACAAGCTCCTCAGATGATATATGAGGTGTGCTAAGAAGTGATTCGTAAAATATAGCTGATGAAGCCTTGCCTAACTGCTGGCTCACATTACGAACACATTGTAGTAACTCAAACAGAATCGTCTGATCACGCTCATCACGAGAAAAACCCAATTCGGGGCTTATATGCTTGTTTTGTTCCTCCAAAGAACCTGGCAGAATATAAGTTCAGTAAATTATGCATATGAGATAATTGCAGCAAATACATTAATCAGTTAAGTCGAAAAGCCCATTCAAATAATTTCACACAGATGCATACCATAGATAATATGCTCTACATCCTTCAAGCCACGGCAGAGAGAGATTGAGTTGTTCCTGACTAAACCGATAGCACCTGTTAATGGATCCATGAGCAGGCCACATGCTGCATTGTACTCGCACCAATTATTCACATAGTGGGCGCAAAAAGATTTCCAACATTGAAGAATGGAAACTGGACTTGCACTTCCACCCTACAACAGAATATACACTTATCAAACCCCATTTAAATCGATCCCCTTTACACTTGAAGCATAAGGAAACAAGAAGTCAAAAACAGCTGCAGCAACAGCAATAAAAGATACAACCAGTCGTACGGTAAGGGGCATTTTAGCTGTGCTTTATGTGGTTTGGAGACAACAATCGTGTCTGGCCCAACAAACCCAACCCTAGTGTATTTCTGGGTCCAAAACTAAAACCTTCAAAATCCTAATAAAATCCTCGATTTTAATGATTTTACCACATATTTTTCACAATTCTGCTTCGACTAGGATTTTACTAGGATTCAACAAGGTACAAGATAGTAACATCCTAGGATTTTACGATCTCAATCCTGATTGTGACTACCATGCAACCTAGAAATTTCAAGGGTACTTCAAGTTTAACTTGCAGTCAAATTATATAAGCGCATGACCACACATGATTCATCAGAACATCATTGACATAATAATATTGTAAATGCGCACAGTCCAAGGAATAAATTGTCTTGGAGAGAAGGAAGAGAAAAAGTACAGTAATAAAAGAAACACTAATTTTCTTGAACAGTGCTCTTCAAATGATTAGAGGCCACCAAAGAAAAGTACCTGATGCTCAATCAGTGACAAAATTTCACTTTTCAGACCATCAACAGTGAACGAACCAAACTCGGAATCAGTGAAGTACTTGTTATGATCTCCTAAAGTCTGCCTCAGAACAGCAGTACTATGAATCCCAGGAAAAAGCAATGCACGCAAGAAAACAGAAGATACAAATGGAGCAATTTCCTCCTGGACAGAGAAACAAACATTTTGTTAAAATGCAACATCCCCAAATGTACTCTACGCATACGTTTAGGGAACTAAATTCCCACTATCCATAATATAATACCATCTACCCATACTATAGTATCCCACTTATGGTTTAAAAGGCAAACAAGAGCATATACTGAAGGTAAACACTTTTCCACCGATACACTGACCAAGTTCATCAACAGCCTGTTGCATACAGAGTAAAGATTAAATTTTACAGGGATATATAGATATTCATCAAGAAGAAATATTATAATTATAAATAATAGGTTTGTAAGAACGTTCTTTTCTATGGAATTTCTCTAGGCTTTCGACCAGTTATAAAATCTGAGACAAGTAAATTGGAAAAACACTAGGATATGAACATTTATGGGCATAGCAAAATAATGATCTACAACAAAGAAAATGGGTCAACAAAGTTAACTTGATTATACAACCTTCGCAGATGAAAACGCAGAATATGCAAGCCAAAGTAGATCATCAGAAGAATGCTCGGAACTTTGAAATAGCAGGTCAGCAACAAAATTTTCCTGCAGAGCATAGCAATAGGATGGTCCCCTAACACAAGAAAGTAAGTATTAGCTATAATTGAGCAGAGAGCAGGTTAATCTAACTCTTGAAGATAAGTTTTGGTGATTGAAGATGGAACTCTAAGAATGCTATAGATGTCAACTTATTTCAAATTATCTCTGACTAGAGGCAAGGCAATGCAGATACGCAAGGGCCAAAACAGAAAGTAGACCCCAAAGCATTTCCAAACAAGGGCCACACATATAAGAAAAAGGTCACAAAAGAAAGAAATAAAGAAAGAGGCATCTTAAACCTATTTAATTTTTGAAAGGATTTCAACAGAAAATTACTTAGTTAAGCCAGAATAAAACAATAAAGCAGAAAAATTGGGTAACTTACTCAGTGACTTCATCAGAAAACAAGTCCTGCATTATCAATCCCTCTTCCTTGAGAATCCAGACTTTGTTTGAAGTAAGTTTAACATCTATGAGCCCATCCTTAAATAATTCAGGAAGCAGACATAACACACTGTTTGAGATTTGTTCATTTATAAATTACAAACAATAAAACATAAGGTAATTCATCAATTACCTCCCCCAAAGAGATTTTTTTGAATGAACGTTCTAGTGAAAACGGTGTTCGATCTCCAATGTTACAATGAAGGCCATACAGAAAGACTGTCTCTGTGCTAACTTCCTTAACAATTTGCCAAAAAGGAAGGAGTAAATGTCAATGTCTAGAAATGCAATTAGTTCTAAATTATCATTTCAGCAACAGATGCACCAGCACTAAGTCTGCACTAAAAATAATTCTTCCAAAACATTGTAGAAACTACTTTAAGAAAGATTATCTAAATCAATATTCATTCTGAACATGCAAATGCATATTCCCCACATTAACCTAATTATGCATCTATTTTGCTGAATCTGATATTTGGACCTCAATGATCCTACAAATGTAATATATTTCTGCCTTATTTTAAAACCAGATTTTTAGATAAAGGGACAAAATAGCATTATCATAAACCCAAATCTGATAGCACAAACTACACGAAATTGGCATTCTTTGTTCAGTATGTGCTTCAAATGACATGTACTACATATATCAAGTTCAGAGCAAAGAACATGTCCAGGAACTATTCAGCTTAGAACCTTAAAATTGGGTCGACAACCAGGTATTCCGTGTCCTCGTGATGTTAAGAATTTTAGACATGGGCACGATATTCTGGTCCAAAATATTCTTTTTTATCTCTTTTGTTTCAGTTTCTCTATTTACAGTACAGCGGAAAAAAAATTATCTCTTTTTTCAGTTTCTTTATTTATAGTGGAGCAAAATATGTGAATGGACAAAAGGACACTCTGTGTTATGAAATAATGGCATAATAGCATAACTTTTGCTTGCTCCGGAAGGGTAACCAGAAATAGACCTATATCTGCTCCTTAACTGCCACCTACCAAATTTTGCTTATGCAGCATTGCCACGGGAATTATGTCATTTTCATCATTAGCTTCTCCCACCCAGAGCCTTGTAAATGCACCTGAAGAATGGGAATGAAAATCATGCTACTTATTACACCATATCAAATTATCAATGTAACATTTAGGAAATAAGTCGTAAAACTCCAAGGTTGAATAATATGAGAACTTGAGGCTGCACTACTCCAGGCAAAAAAAGTAAAACTAGTACCAATCGTATACCAAAATGACCTAAGAAGCTTTTCTCGGCCAAACATTTACAATTAATTGGGATATTGTCAAAATCAATATTAACAATAAATTAACTTGTCCTCGAACTTATGAACTACAGATTTCAGTAAGAGTAACCGTCGACCAGCATGCTTTTTATTTCAGTAAGCAAAGAAAATATGACATAATTTCAACGCATACTTGTAAGAAAAATAGAAAACTCTAAACACAGCCCATGAAATAAGAGAATTGATAAGGTACCCCATACAGTGTTAGAATCTCTATTGCTTAGGTGTTCTACTGATATAGCGTAATAAGAAGTCTTACAATATATAATAATTGTAAATAGTTTAATCCTAGGAGTGATTTCAGTTAGTTTCCTTAGATAACATAATTGTATATGTATAAATATGTGTAACCTTTATCGGGCATTACATAATGAATTCCTGTAATCTCTTAGACTTTTACAAGAAGTTTACAAGGTCTAAACTTATAGAATCATTTCCTTTAGTAAGTAATGCTATCACCAACACTATGACAGCATGTGGTCAAGCTACAAAGCATTACAGGGAAGTAGAAAAGAAATACTGGTTATTGGCATTATAATATCAATATTTATACTCATGAGATTCATTGCATAGACATAGATGTCCATGATAGATCTAAGGAATGAAATAGAAGTTCGACATAGCATATTAAGCAAGAATCAGAATACTTGGGTATCAAAACTCAAAGCATCACCAGGCAAGATAAAAACATAAATTGCGTGATGAGATTTTAGAAAATAGTAAATCAGGTATATATACTTGCCTGTCAAGGATGGAACTGTCATTGCATGACCGAAAATTTTAGCACGGCTTAAAAGGTCCCAAACACGAAAAGTTCCATCAGAATGAAGCACAAAAAGAAGCTTTCTCTGTTGCACCTCTGATATTACTAAATCCTGTACGGCAGCCACCATTGGACTCCTAAATGACCATCGATATATTAATAGAGTAAGTCATCACAAGAAAAATAAGAAAAAATCAAACTCTACCCGGCGTGATGTATGTGATATGTTAAAAGGTTCTTGTTTAGAAACGACAGCGATACACGTAGCTTAAGAGTATCTGATATCCATCATTATTTGGATAAGAGAAGACAGCGCATGCTCATGCTTATGGAGATGGATAGACACATATAATGGCAGAGAAAGAATGTGTGCTCGTGTGAAAACAGAGAGGGTGGGGTGTAGGAGAGAAGCGAAAAAACAAGAGAGAGCACCAATTTATAGAGCATGTAAGGTCATAGTTTACTCTCTCAGACACTAGACAGGAGACACTGAAAAAACCCTACACAATTGAAGGCCACGCAAACACCTGATGCACCTTTACACTTCATTTATTAAATTTAGATTTCCAAAAATAAAGGAAAGAAAAAATCAGATGTGCTAACCACATGCTTACCAAGAGAACTTGAATTTCAAGAAAATCATAGGGCTAACCACATGCATACCAAGAGAACTTGAATTTCAAGAAAATCATAGGCCCAACATACAATATGTTGGGTTTGATACAAAAAAACTTCTTACGGTTCTTTCCAAGCAGAAACTTAAACAATAAAATTAATTTTAAATTCCTCTCATTGGCTCGAGTCTGGCAAGAAATTAAAAGAAAAACCTGATATTCGGCGAAGACACGTGTATAAAACATGAAAGTTATACATTTTGATTATCATTTCGTCAGCAAGTTTTTATTTTTCGTCAGCAAGTATGTTAACTACACCAATATAAAAAGGTACAAAGTGTCTCCAGAAATAATAATCATGACTGTTTTCAGACGAAAAATTTTTAGATGTTCAGAGAAAGCAGAGAGGAGATAATTTGTAACCACTGTAACATGCGCGAGGAGACCACATGCAACTCTCCTTATAATTGCAGTACCATTTATCTTCTTTATTTATCAAAATATAACTCTTCCACCCTATCCCCTAATAAAAAAGGGAGGTGGAACTTTCTTATAAGAAATTAAAAGGTGGAGACTCAAATTAGAAAATTAGAGCAAAATTTAGACATGAGATAAAGGTTTGGGACTCAAATTTCATACCTTGACAAAATGCCCCACAACCGACCAAAACCGGCATCATCTCGCAATTCATACACGAATCCTACAAATTCAACCAGGAGAAGGATCAGAGTTGAAGTTGAATTGATACAGAATGAATAGAGAACTCTAGATGCAGCCTTTGAGCAACCACTTAAATAGGACTTATAAATATCGGGTGATTTCAAACTTTTAACAGCCGCTCAAATAGGATTTTTATATATCTCCTTCCAGTTTAATAACCCATTCCACTGATTCACTTTTTTAACATTAAAAGGTTACATATCAGTCGGTTGTTATGAGAGTCAAATCACCAAGAAAATTTTGATAACCAATCAAACTAAGAGAAACATGAAAACTTTAAGCACAAAAAGAAAGACAGAACCCATTTATAGACCTGAAGTGCTCGGGTCAACTCTGCCTAGCTGGAAACAACCAACAGATCCATCACTCCTACCAATCAACAGACATCCTGCTGATGCTGCAACAGCTGTTACTGCTCCATGATGAGGTTCACCTTGGGTGCTATACTCAAGAAACTCATCAGTAGGGACAAGAGAAGAAGTTCCATAGTCAAAATTGTTCCTCAATCTGATTAAGTAAGCAACCCCTGAGACTGTCAAGGTATAAAGCAACAAATGATTTCTGGAAGAAAACTTGGTCTGCATGCAAAAGAAAGCATTAGATATTTCAGAAGTTAACGACATAATTTCACACTGGCTCTAGAAATAAGTAAAATTTAAGCAGATAAGATACACGAAGATAGGCTGACCTCATCTTTGCAGATGAAAGCAAATGGAAAAAGAGCATCAGGAAACATGAGTCGCAGTCCAATCCTTGAAAATTCTTTATGACTGCGTAGTTCTACAATGTCCAGCAAATTTGACTGAGTTTTACTGGTTTTCCTGTAGCAAGAAAGTAACATATGTATTGCTGAAGGATAATAAAATTGCAAAAATGTGGTGAAGCAACTATAGAAATCAAACAATAGTTTTTCTGAGGATAAACCTATGAACTCCCCCAAAGTCTGTGTCCGTGTGTGTGTGTGTGTGTGTGTGTGTGTGTGTGTGTGTGTGTGTGTGTGTGTGTGTGTGTGAGAGAGAGAGAGAGAGAGAGAAGGCAACAACATGAGAATATGAATTACTACAGTCCAAAGATATCCAGCACCTTAAACCTTACCTGAATCCATTTTCAAGGGATATTTATTGCAGAATGAGATAAACACGTATAAAACGCAAGAATTACATCTTGCATATGTTATAAAGGAAAACAAGATAAAGAGAGTGGTCAGACAAATGCCCCAATAATAGACTAGAATTCAAGAAAAAAACAGTTTTTCAAAAAATTTATTCGATTGAACTACTAATTTCTTCTTTTAGGGTTGGGATGGGAGAAGGTCATAACTATCTCATTTTAAAGTCTACATCACCTCTACCGGCTTCTCTCTCTGGCTGAAACTATTAAGGCTCTGGTGAACAATTAGATAGCAAAGAAAACATGGGCAGGCACTCAAACATTAAAGATAGACTACTCATCCTATCAAACTCATAACTGACACAATCTAATTTGGATGTATTGTCTGTAAAATACAACTAATAAACTAACTGAATAAAGTTGCCACCATATACATAAAAGCACTGACTGGTTACTTAGTCACCTCTATTTAAAAATTGATTCACTATTTCCAACTCAGACATTCCGACATTCGTATCAAAAGAACCAGAAGAATATCATAATTGATCGACTGTGAAACCATGAACAAAAGTTTGAATTCCGAAAGAGTTAAAAAACTAGGAAAGAAAGCCATTGTTAACAATCACTGCAAAGTTTGGAAATACAAAATCAACAAGAATAGTGTGTCTAGCCAAATACAAATGTACTCATAGTGCAGGCTAATAAGTGTTATTACTCAAGGGGCCACTTTTTGTTCACATATCCACGTGAAGATTATTGATGAACGATCAAGGACGTAAATACTGAGATCCCAAGCATATGCGCCTACTGGGTGATATAAGCAAAAAAATGTACATATATTCTTGCTGGGATTGTAGGCAAAGCATATTCAGAGAATGATAAAACAAACCGATGCAAAACTGCACATGGGGTTCCAGAAAGGTACACCTAAACAACAAACTATTCATCTTAGGAGGTATGTATTCATCCATGTGTTGGGTCAAAGTTGTTGAAGAATTAAAGATGTTCGAATCCAAAAAAAAAAAAAATGAGTGCATCCACAGTTTCGTATTATAAATAAACGAATAACAAAAGCTGAAGACTAAAAAAAATATACACTAGCAACAAAACAAGAAAATGGTAGAGAGTAACACTTACTTACAGTGTAGGATTGAGTTATATAAAATGCATACGAGAGATGTAATATATCACACTTAACTACAACTATCTCTGCAACCCAATAGCAACTAAAAATTCAACTTGAACAATACGAGTACTTAGGGTTCAATTACCAGATGAAATACGAAGGGGCGTCTCCAATGGAGCAAGAAGCGGCGAAGTCTCTGGAAAGTGGGTGGCTGGAAGCGTTGGCCGTAGAAGTTGAAGAAGAAGAGGAAGGAACGGAGAGTTGATGCCACTCGATGGAGTCGGTGCTAAGCAGCGGCACCTCCATCCCCGCCGTGCGCCACCCGTTATTGCTCCCCATAGCCACCGCCGGAGTAATGATTGCCCTGATTGTGGACGAAAAACCCTACCGGAGATCGAAGAGGAAGACGGAGGAAAAGTGGGTTGAGTGAGCAGGGTTTTAGGGTGAATTGGGAGGGAGAATGTTGAAGGGTTTTATTTTTTACTTGAAAATTAAAATCAATTTTAAATTGTGTCGTTTTGGATGCACGATTTATGGGAAATTTACAGTTTGCACCTCTCAAGTTTGCAACGATTTCACATTTAGTCCCTTATGTTCATAAAAAAAATCACATTTGGTTCATCATGTTTCAATAATTTGATTTTTTTTTTGTCATTTTGTCAATTTATCCAAATGTGTTTTTTGTGAATATAAAATTGGTTCAAATTTGAGGGATGAAAACTGTAAATTCCCACACGATTTATATATTTTAGTGGGGTTTAAGATTTTATAAGTTATGAAACTCCATAATTAAATATTTCCACTGTTGTAATTGATTTACTTTTTTCTTTTATCGTTTTTAACTTATGTAGCACGTAAATTTCAAATTCTTAATGTATTTGCGTATCGGACATGTTTTGTGTTTGGAGAAAGTAAAATATAACTTAAAGAAATAAAATAAAATAAACTAGAAAATACGACAATAGGACAATATATAGTCCAACATATTAAGACATTAGAAAGTAATAAAAAATAAATAAACCACATCACATTGGTTGAACCTTCATATGACGAAACTTGTCGATCACGAGATCGAGACAAGCATTGTCGGAGCTTAGAATGTCACAAGGGCGAACACCACCCAATTTCGCCGTGTAAGATTTCTCCAGTGCATCGATTTAGTTGACAAAACATTCAAGTGTCGAAACAATCTGGTTGTACCGGGGTGGGTAGCCCATACCCTTGTTCATGTAGTACAATATCATGTGGTCAACCCCGTCCGAAATCATGTTGACCTCTTCCATAAGTTGTTCATGTAGTACAATATCATATTTTGTTTGTGTCGAAAATTCATTGTATAATGGGATTATTTCATTGGGGATTAATGGCACCGAAGGTGGGGTGGTTGTTCAACAATATTCGGTCGTCGTTCAATATGGCTTCAAAGGCAAGAGGGTCGATTTGGGTATCGAAGTTCCTTATCGCGAAAATTAATGCTTGTCGGACTTGTTTGAGAAACTCTTCTGTTACAGAATATAAGAACTCGAGGGAGCACTTTGAGCTCATATACATGTCCATCTTTATTAAAACCATAAGATTAATCAAAAAAAAAAATTTATTTGTTATATTGTATATAAATATGGGTAAATTATAACCACCCCTGAGGTATGGTCAAATTACGAAAACCCCCCTCTTGTTTGGATAATTACAACCACCCCTCATCTCCTCAAATTTAGTGGAATCTTCGAGATTATATGGAATACACTACGCCAAAATCCATTTCAGGCGACGAAAATTTGCGACGAAAAAAGCGTGTTTGCGACGAAAAAATGCAATTTGCGACGAATGTGTTGCGACGAAAGGGACGCCAAAAAAAGTCAAAAAAATCGCCGTCGCAAATTCTTGCGACGAAATGTAAAAATAGTCGCACTATTTGGCGACGTTTCAAGAGAAAAGTCGCAAACCTTCATTTTTTTCGTCAAGGCAAATACTGCAACGGAAATTTCAGGATTCGTCGCAATTAGTTGCGACGTTTCCAAACAATCGTCGCAATGTTTGGCTTTACATTTGCGACATAAAATAGATAAATCGTCGCAATATTTTGTTGTACATTGCGACGGAATATTATAAAACGTCACAAATATATATGTTTTTTTAATTGCTGATTTTATTTGTTTAATTAATAGCTAATTACCTGTAATTATGAACAATACCAATAAAATTAATTCATCAAATGCACAAAAACATTAAACAACTCAAATTTTATATCATTAAGTTAAAATCATCCAACGATAAAAATAAATTATCCAAATATGAAATTAAAGTACAAAAAAAGTTAATGTTGTAGGCTTGTAGCATTACAAATACAAGATCAATTGATCTTCAATTTCCTCATTCATCTTCATAATAGTTAGTTGCCGGCGACAAAGGAATTTTGTTGCCCATTCTCATTCGCAGTCTGTTGAAAACATACAAATCACATAGTTAAGGAGTGCTCGATCAATATTCAATACTTAAAAATTCATATACGATCCTTGAATCTTGCAGTTAGCTGATAATAAAGACGTAGCATGAGAAAATAATATGGAAACGACGAATAACTATATGAAGCAGTAACAACCTTGAATGGCTCGTTATCTTTCCTGAAGCTAATCGAAAATACCCTGCACATATTGTAGCAAAAAAAAGAACATGGTGAGTGAAAGAAAAATAACTATCATACAACTAAGAACATATATAAAAATATTTTGAATTACATAAGTTGTCAAATTTTCATTATGCACAAATACATGGCCCAATGCAGCGATTAGCGTATACCAATGCACATCATATTAACAAAAGTTTTGCATCTGATCAACAAAATACATCATATGCAAGTCTAATACGCAAAAGTTTTGCATCTGAAAACACGTTTTTTCACACAAGAACCATTTGTCCCAAAATAATTATTTTCGACAACTTTTCAATCCGTTCATGTAGCTAGCCGACATATATGTAGTTCATTTATAGTAAATAAAATCAACCTTAAACCAACCATGAGTTTTTCTACTCACATGTTTGTATCAATAGAATCTTCATTAATAACCACAGACCTTTAGACATGATAATTAATAATCAACGAACTTACATTGGCTGCACCGGCAGTTTTATATAAAACTGGTGCAATAGTTTTTCTCCCATTGTTATGTCCGAAATCCCTTGAACGGAACTTGAAATCTTTAGATAAGGTAGTGATACCTCGCTGTTGTTAGCATGGGGCACAATGGTTTTATTTCGGTGAGGAAAGAGGGAGTTGAGAGGGCCTTAACATGCTAAAGTTTAAAATCTGCTGAAGATCAGAATTTCATGTTATTATATTTTTTTTTTCCTTTATATATGTTTAAAACATAATAAAACAAGCATGAGCTTTTATATTATCTAATTGCTGCAAACAGTATAAGGAAGAAAATCAAGATTCAAGAATATGATAATTAGTAACTAAACAAAGGGAACATGAAAAAACATATTAGATACAAAACATAGACTTGTTTCATGAGAAACAAAGCATAAAAGATAAAACCTTTTGTTGACGAATTACCAATATAGCAGGACTTAGGCTTGCAAGATCAAGGGGTAATGTTTCCCTAGTTTACATTTGATTTTTTGCGAGTCAACCCATTGTAAAAAAAGAAACAATCACAGGTAAAAAGATCGTCTTCTTAATTAAGCCTGTAATAAACAGATTCTTTTGCACTTTACTCATAAACAGATTCTTCAGCACTTCACTCGACACTTTCCATAACCATTCTTTTGTACTTAATTATTGAAACTAATAAACAAGTAGGGGTCATTGCCCCCACTGAAAGGCATGGTTTAATTTAACACCCAAAATAGAAGTTCTAACAATCTAGTGATGCAAGGCTAAATGCATTTTTGAGTTGATATATCAGTACAGAAAAACAATAAAACCAAAATCACTACTAGATTTGTGCTCTTATTAAATTTATTTTAAATATTTCTAATATTGTTACTTTTCTAATTTTAAATTGAAAATCCCAATTTTAGCAAAATCAGATTGAAGAAAAAGACAGGTATGAATCTGAAATCGATTTAATAGAGCATGAATTCCATACTTGTGTAATAGTTTTCCGCGGTCGTGAAATTCGGGGGGGGGGGGGGGGGGGTGCAGCGGCGATGGAACCTTGTGGTAGCGGCGGCAGCGAAGGAGAAATCTGGCGGAGGTAGCGTCTCTCCGTCGCGGTGGTGTCAGCTTATCTCCGCCGCTGTGGTTGCAATTTATCCCCGCCGCGGTGGTGGTGCCCATCTTGCCGTCGTTGAAGGATAAAAACGATGGCAAAATCACCGGCCGTTTGCAGGAGGAGGTAAAGAACTGTGGAGAGAGATGGAGGGTTATGGCACAAAGTTTAAGTAGTGAAGATAAATTTCGCCCTTTGCAAATTTTATCCGTATTCTAAATTAATTCAAATCCTTGAGACGAAAACCAATAAACGTCGCAAAATAATTTAAAAATTATTAATTATTTTAAACAATTGCGACAAAAACAATTATATGTCGCAAATATTTATTTAAAAAATTAATTGCGTCTTTTCGTAGAAACATCGTCGCAAACTATTGCGACGATTGAGCTGATTCGTCGCAAATGCTCACGGAATTCTTTTATCTTCTTTAGTGCGACCATATGTGCGACGAAATTTGTAAAGTCGCAATTCTTTTTATTTTTTGCGACGTTTGTTGTTTAAAACGTCGCAAAATTGCGACGAATCCATTTCAGTCGCAAAAAAAAAGTCGCCTGAATTGCATTTTGGCCTAGTAATATTATCACTTTTGTACCCGTTTTATCCCATTTGAACTCTACATTTTGAAATAAGATGATCATAATATGTGTTTTTTGGTTTGTATATATCAGATTGTGGTGCATCATAAACTGTATTTTTACACAAAACGAGTACAAACTAGAGCACATTCCACGAAATCTAGATGATTATGTTGAATTTGACACCAAAAAGGTGGAGGTGTAAGAAAAAAACATAGTTGAGGGGGGTAGATGTCATTATCCAAATAAGATGGATTTTTTTGTAAATTGACCATACCTCATGGGGGTGTTTGTAATTTACCCATATAAATATATAAGTGTATATGTATGGCATCTATTGAAAGTTGAGTTCAATTCATGGACGAAACAGATTCGGCGGGATAGTTCAGATTGTCACGGGGAACATTTTATGTATAAACGATCACCAAATTCGAATGCAAAACTAAGGAAACTCAGATAACTATACCACACACGTAAATTGTAATAGTAACCCTAATTTCGTTACTATATGAAAAATTCGACGGGAAATTGGTTTTCCCCCGATTAAACGGCAACAACCCTATTTTTGTTCATGTATACAAAATTCGATGGAAATTTGTTTTTTTCCCCGACTATTAAAGGGCAACAACCCTAATTTCTTTACTGTATGCAAAATTCGACGGAAATTTGATTTTTTTCCTATCTTGAAAGGCAACAAACCCTAACTCCGTTCCTATCTGCAAAATTCTACAGAAATTTGGATTTTTTTCCCCATTAAACTACGACAACCCTAATTTCATTCCTATACGCAAAATTCAATGGAAAATTTGATTTTTTCACCAATTAAACGGCAAAAGCCCTAATTTCCTCCTATGTGCAAATTTCGACGGAAATTTGATTTTTTTTCCCCAGTTAAAGGTAAACAAATGTAACCCTAATTTCGTTGTTATATGCAAATTTCGATGGAAATTTAATTTTTTTTCAATTAAACGGCAACAACCCTAATTTCATTACCATGAGCAAAATTCAACTGAATTTGATATTTTTCCCCAATTAAATGTCAAAAACCCTAATTTCGTTTGTATACGTAAAATTCGACGGAATTTTTTATTTTTTTTCCTTCTTAGTAAACGTGCATGCAAAAGTAGAAAAATAAAATAAAAAAAGGCCAAATTACGGCCACCCCTGAGGTAAGGTATAATTAAGAAAAAAAACCCTCTTATTTGCATAACTACAACCACCCCGGTGGGAAAAAAATCCGTACATGCCGATTACCGAACCGTTAATTCGGTATGGTATTCAATTTAATTTAATTAATTAATTAATTATATATATATATATATATATATATAGTATTTAAACTAAAATTAACTATAAAAATCACATTTTTTTAAATATTTGTAATTAAAATTTGGGAATTCGGTTATTTATCGAACCAAACGCTAAACAATATGAAATTTTTGTGTACCACAATTTCTGTACAATTTTACCGAATTAACGCCCCTAAATTTATCAACTAAAGAGATTTTTTCGTAAGATAATACATAGTTGAGAGGGTGTTTTTAACTATACAAATATGAGAAGCTTTTTTTCCTCGTAATTTAACCTTATCTCATGTGATTGGTCGTAATTTGCCCAAAAAAAATTATGGGAGATTACTACTAATAACTAAATTCAACATATTTGTCAAGATAATTAATTTATGAATAAAAGATAATTTATCTCTTTCTTCCTTGATTAACTTGTAAAAGGACACATTTGTGTGAGGAACAAACTGGGCTCTAAATTGGACTCCATCAACGGACACTTAGTTTGATTAAACTTATAAGTTGTTAAAACAATTATAAGCTCTTCCAAAATGTAATAATTTAAAAAAAAAATCTTAAAAGTTCAAAAATTAAGTTGCTAGAAAACAAATAAGATTTTTTTAAAATCTTATAATGAGTAAAAGTAGCTTATAAGATCATTATTCAAATACTTTAAAATTAATTCTATTAACAAGACAAAACAACTTATTAGCTCTTAAAACAACTTATCACATGTAAGAGCTTATTAAGTATTTAAAATAAGTTTAATCAAACGGACCCTAAGTATTATACATGCATGCTTTCATTTCAAAATTTTCTTTAAAAACATCGATAAATGAATAATTTTACTTAAATAATATTTTTATGGATCCCAACTCAGTGTCAACGTACTAAATGTGAAAGAATTCACACTTAAGTGTTATTATATTGAATACTTTAATTTCTTTTTAAATAAAATCTCATACTAATATCACACATTATTTTATACTAGCAGAACATGCTGCTCGTTATATATAATTTGTATTTTACAAATAATTTATGTCCACTCAACTCAAATATTGGTCAACAGTCACGAATTTAATTAATTCATACATATCTTCAATAATTAAATCAACACCTATCTTTCAAGGAGAAAATACCAAAAGTGAATTCAAACATTATCTTTCTTTTATTTGAATTAAGGATGGGTCCCAGTTCGAAGCTGTTTACTGCAAGATCCGACCCGACCGGGTCATTTGTTTTCCTGTTGTCGGTGTGAACAAATTGAAATTCCATAATTAAATTAATTAATTAATTAAAGGGTAAATTACGAAAACCCCCTAAACTTAGATTAAATTACAAAAACCACCTCTACCTATTTGTAATTATCAAAAACCCCTGAGGTTTGTTTCCGTCTTACATCAAACCAGTTACAGTGTGACTTTTCACGGATTTTTTTTATTCGGAGGAATAAAATTTACACAATTTCAGATATTTTCTTTTATTTCTCACCTATTTAACATCAGGTATAATAGACTGTACACATTTTCTGTTAAAAACTCGATCAACAGTTAATTAGAGGGGAATTTTGGTTGTTACGGATCGGTGGGGGAGTATTTTATTATTTAGCCTAAGTTTAGGGGGATTTTCGTAATTTACCCTTAATTAAACTAATCCTGATTTTAATCAATCATTAGCTTAGCCAACTACTCCGTTAGGTCAAGCCCACCAGCATAAGCTAGCTGTAGTGCGAATCAAGCAACGCGCTGCACAGTGCACGTGGATAACAAACCTTTTCGTGTCCAATGGATGTTCATACATTTACTATTATAATAATACTTTTTTAAAAATTATTTTCATGTGTAAATATTACAACTATTAAATACATTCGTTAATCGTTATACGCTAGAAACTTCTATAAATTAATAATTTCATTTAGTGAAATGTTATTCATAGAACATTTTTTTACTTGATTGCAGTGCGATTTATTTCATTTGTAACTTTCCTTAAAAAAACTCAAATTCGCGGCTATTTCGTGTGCTATAATGCGAAATTCATTCAACAATTTCGTGTATTTTTACACGAAATTTATGTATTTATCATTATAGAACAAGAGCGGCGAAATTGTTGGATTGAAAACATTGTTTAGCTTCGTGACATAAAACACAAATTACACCTTATATTTCGTGGAATTTTACACGAAATTTAAGCTAAGATTCGTACAATTTTGTACGAAATAACTAATTGAATTATTTTTATAATTTAACCAACTTATTTGTTAACACTCAGATAAATAAAATAAATTAATATAAAAATTCTTAAACTCAAGTAAAAAAAAACAAATTGACCTAAAAATTCAAATACAAATACAAATTGAACTAAAATTCAAATACAAATATAAATTGAACTAAAATTCAAATACAAATAAAAATTGAACTAAAATTCAAATGCAAATAAAAATTGAACTAACGACCAGACTTTAATTGTTCGTACAAGAGTAGTCGAGGTTTGAACATTTTGAGTAAGTGCCTCAGATTTTTAGCTCTATCATATACCCATGCCGGATGGATAGGTGGTAGAGAACTATTCGCGACCAAATTAACAAGCATGAAATGATTGTTGTGCAATATCACAACAATCATACATGATAAATGACCACTGCCAAACATAAGAAGGTAAGTCATACTCCCTACTTGGGTCAAACGTACCACTAATACACTGTATTTTGTAGCAATGTCCAATCACATTTCATTCATGTCCATCCAATAAGCTTGTGGACAAGGCTGTGAGGTCCAGTCACCCTTGTGTATGACCTCAACGTATCCAGTACTGCCAAACATCGCCGTTTTGTACACATTGGCATGCTCGTATAACTCAATAAACAACTTCCCTCTCACTTGCACCCATCTTTCTTGATCCCCGTACATGGCTTGAGTAACGCACCGGTACCCACAGTTGCCATCCGCCATCACGTTAACATAATCTTGAATAAGACGAACCATAAAACTGGGTACGGAACAATAGAAGTCGATTTTTTCATGTGCAGGTATTGTAGGGGCAGCAGATTCTTGTGTGGGAATACGAGAACCACGACCTTTCATCTTCGATTGAGGCATTCCATTAGTGTTTCTCTCAACCTTTGCTTCAGGAACCTTTGCACCAAATGAGGATTGACGACCCTTGGAACCACAAGACGACTTAATTGTCTCCTCATCAATATGATACTGACATCTGGAAGGGTCTTTCTTTGTCGAGTTATTCTTTGGTCGTCATTTGGTCTCAACAAATGATGGCTCAGACAGATGCGACGTAGATGGATAAACGATGCCACGCAATGAGGCCACGACATTTATCTTACTCGTGTAATTCATTTTCTTCAAATTGCAATTTAGGTCATCAATGTCTATCCACAATCGCCTCGCGGTTTACTTGATACTCAGGTAGCTCCGAAGGTTCAACTGCCATGGTACTCCAGAATGGATGCAAGTCTAAAATGACGAACATGTCATTATCTTCCATTTTCTGAACAATTTTGCACGCGCAAGGGGGGCCATGAATATTCCAAAGATAGTTTTTGCCAATACTCGGATCTTGCATCGTCGGGGACTCCATCTCTTGATCCAATTTCTCCAATGCCAGATGCACAACATAACAAATCAAACCTTGAAAACATGGCCACGTTGCAGTATGCTTCCTTATCTTGGATGATAATGAAAAGTTGCACTTCAGCTGACTAATTTGGATATAAACTTGGTCCCGAAGTTTGCCTTGCACTTTATCCAGACATCCGGTCGAAGCATTTAACCAACTCTTCGCATAAGAATGAGCACTCTCCACCCTATCCGATTACAACGACAATCAAATTACAAAATATTATTTTTATATATATTTTATCATTTAAATAACTAAAACATGTAATACATGTTGGTGCTCGTGTTACCAAAATGATACACATTGCGGGTATAGGCTCAGACAAACTTCTCCTTGTATATCAACCACGTATCCTTCAAAAATTGTATCAGTGTAGGATGTCCTGCATACCGTCCAACAATTTCATTGTAATTATAATGATACTCTTCTTCGGTTTCTAATTTCAACAGCTTAGCCCACAACACACGTCGGAATATTAGACCTTGGTCTTTGTTGCCTCCCATAAATTTCGTCGCATTTGCCTCAATATTTCTGTTTATATGGAATATACACAACATATGATACGGAACTGGAAAGACATTTGGTAGTGCTTTCAAAAGACCCAACTCCCTTTCTGTCAAGATCGCATCAGGTTCGACACCATCTAGCAACTCTCTCACACAATTCAAAGTCCACTCGTAGGTGTCTGCATCTTCATGCGGCATAAATGCAACAACAATCTTAAAATTCCTCCCAACAGGAGTTATCCCAATTATTTCCAAAAGAGGCATCCCATACCTACATCAATGTTTTTTTTACGTATTTAAACAATACAATACATTATAACACAACAATCATAATTTAAACAATCGTAATTTTTACTTATTTATTGGTTTTGTATGTGCAGTCCATCAATATAACATACGGGAACAGCCGTAGTAACTTAATAGATTCGGGACATGCAAACATAACATTTGAAACTATCGACGCGATGTCAATATCGACGCGATGCCAATATCGATACTCGCCTTGTTGAAAGTTATGCATTAGAAACTGAATAACAGTCATGCCCTCCATTTCCCCAGATTTAATCTTGGCCAACTCATTGTAAACACGCTTCATAGAGGTTTGTATCGTCGGATCATCTTTCGTCAATCTATCCATGATTAGCATTGACTTCACGTGAGAATTTCTCAACTCTTTAATTCTTGCTTTCTGTTGTGAAGTTATACGACTAGTCGTACCATGTCCGCGAGGAAACAAAGCCGGAGGATGAGTATGTCTGCCATCGCTGACAGTCAACGGCCATAATTCATCAAACCTTGACTTTTTGCCAATCAATTTGAACGGACAACCACATTTTTTTGTTCCAGTTTTTCTAGGATCTTCCACATCGATATTCGTTTGTCGGCCATATCCGTATTTGTCACATGTTAAATACTGTGCATTCTCCCTTCTAGACTGACAAATCCAACGGTGAGAATGACAAACTGAAGTTGTTTTGGCCCACTTGATTAATTCTTCCCTACTATCGAATACAATATCAACTTGGAAGAAGTGAGAGAGATCTTCATATTCGTTTCGCTCCAAAACTGCGGGATCAAAATACAAGTTGTCTTCATATGGTTGCGTTAAAAAAAATAATAAGTTAGATACTTGCACAAAAAAAAAAAAAAACTAGGGATTTCATGTAAAAGTACACGAAATACGTATGTATATTTCGTGTACAAATGTATGAAACACACAATAAAAACAGTTTACTGTCTGTTTCGTATTATTTTTATACGAAATACTAGTTATAATTTTGTAGTGTTTTGTACGAAATTATTGGTAAACATGAATATGATGTTAATTTCGTACAGAACACCACGAAACGATTTGAAGAATTTTGTGATATTGTACACGAAACGACTGAAAATCGAAAAATATCAGACAAAAACGTAATTGGAGGTTGAGAGAATTTTGAAAAAGGTTAAAGGGTTTCTTGATAAATGAATTATTTCGTACTGTAACCGGAAAAAAGACATCCTATGAATAGTATGCCCCTTTCATTTAAATAATATAATTTTTTCAGTCTCGGCTTCAGGATAACATGCTAGAAAAATATTTCAATAAATTATATTTTGCTAATGGATTTTGGCTGATTTCAACTGTATTAATTTATAGATGTTTAACTATACAATTTATAAATCTTGGCATTTATGTGATTTGAAAAATTATAGACTAATTAGATTTTAATTATTTAATTAATCGCGATTTATCTTATCTACCAAATAAAATATAATTTAATAGGAGAAAAACAAAGTTTAGAGGATAGTTCAATTGAATGATGCTTTTGTATGTTGGCCATTTATTTGAGATTAAAAGGGTGTTTGGGCTTATTTTAAACGACTGATAAGCTCTAACGTCTGATTAAATATTTTAAGAGTTGATAAGTTGTTACACCTTATTTTTATGAGTAATTTTTAGAGTGTTTCGATAATGAGCTTATTTCCTACATTTACTCATTATAAGAACTTAAATAAAAATGTGGGGTAAAAGTATTTTTTTTAAAAGATCTTATTTGCTCTCCAACAACTTATTTTTAAAAAAATTAAGATATTTTTAAAAGAATTACCAAACACTTTGAAAGAGCTTATAAGTTCTAAAACATCTTATAAGCTTAGCCAAACCCCCTCTAAAATAGTCAACACTCACTACACTTTTATTAAGATTTTTTTTTTGTCAAATAAAAGTAAGAAACACATGCATGTTAATACTGTTTTACTTTTAATCAGGTAAATCTATTCTCGTGCAACAACTAACTGAGCACAAAATAACATAAACATCATTTACATCTACATAGTGTTTGACTAAGTTTATAAGATATAAAAAAGAACTTATAATATGTTTAAGAGTTTATAAACTCTTCCAAAATGTTTGTTAATATTTAAAAAAAATATCTTAATTTAAAAAGGAAAAAACTGTTGGAGAGCAAATAAGATTTTTTCTATTAAGTACCTCTATCCCATTTTTTTTTTTGGGAGAAACTACGCCACGTCTTTATTTAAGATCTTATAATGAATATATCAAATAAGCTCGTTATCCAAACAATTTAAAAATTAATTGTAAAAATACGATTTGACGACTGACCTAATCAACTATTTAAAATAAGTTTAGCCAAACGAACCCTAAAGCGCCATAAATGAGTCAATGGGTCAATAGCCCTAGCCCTTCTGTCTTAATCGACCGTGTCCTAACTCTGTCGTTCTTTCCCCGCGGTAAGTCACTCACTCTTTCCTTCCTTAGTCAAAGGCAGCAGCAGAGGTCGATAGGCAGCAATAAGTAAGTTATTTGATAAGTAGTCGATCTAGAAAACAGTAGCAGCAAAATCGAACTCGAATCCTTAAATATCTCGCTCTCCTACTAATTTTTTTTTGATATTGATCTTTTGATTCATTAAAATGTACATGCAACCTAATATATAGGGTATTTGTTACTAAAAAAATAAATTTAGTGATAGTGAGAATACAATTTATGCACTTGTCAATACAGTAGAACTTCGATAAATCAATACTCGATACTTTAATAACTTCGCTTAAATAATACTTGATTGCGATCCCAACTCGGTATTGTATTAAATTATTAGTTCGATAATTTAATATTTCGTTAAATTAATAGAATTTTGTTTATCCCCACTGTATTAATTTAAAGAGATTTAACTATGGTTTAAAATTAATTGCAAATTGATTTAATTAATCCAATCAAAAGAGACTAAGAGCCCGTTTGGCTAAGCTTATTTAAAACATCTTATAAGCTCCTACATCTGATAAGATGTTTTAGGAGCTGATAAGCTGTTAGATCTTATTTTAAAAATTATTTTTTAAAGTGTTTGGATATGTAGCTTATAAGTTACTTTTTGTTTTTATAAGTTGTTCTGGTGTTTGGAAATAAAATGTCTGTTTATTGCTATAATGACAAAAAAGTACATGACGCCAGTATAATTTTTAAACTTATTTGACTCAAATATTTTTGTTCCTAAAATATTATTATAATATTTACAAATTATTGTTTCAAATAATAATAATAATAATATAAAATTATATAATAATATAAAATAAAAGTTGTAAAAGAAATATAATTTTTTTGTAGATGAAAGAAATATAATTTATTATGGAGATAATAAGAATATTCGTGTATTTTTATATACATATAAAATATAAATAGAGAATAATTTTTTTTACAATTATTATGATAATTACGATAATTATATGTAACTAATTATTAATCTTGATTACAAGAATACGTTGTTTTGATAAAATATAAATATTATTAGTATTCATGTAATATAATAAAGTATTTGAGGGTAATTTTGTATTTTAAGTGTTTAGTAAAGAAGCAAATAAGATCTTAAAGAAAAAAGGTGGGGTAGAGGTACTTTTTTAAAAACATCTTATAAGCTCCCTAACAGCTTATTTTTTGAAAAAATAAGATCTTTTGCAATTTTTTTACCAAACACCTTTTAACAACTTATAAGCTCCTAAACATCTTATAAGATGTTTTTAGGAGCTTATAAGCTTAGCCAAACGGGCTCTAAGTATTATGAATAAAAAAATATTATTATTATTATTAGCTCCATATTTATTGTTGAGGTGGTATTTTCAATCCCACCGACAACGTAAATACAATAAAGTATTAAATAAAAAAAAAATTGATTTTTAGTTGAAGTGTAGTATTCACCCATCAAACCAAACCAATATTATATTAATTAAATAATTACACACCAAATAAAGAATATAAACTACAATCCAAACACACACACACACAGCAAATTCACAGCCCACCATTATTGCTGCTTGTAGCTCACACCACAGTCCCCACCAGTCCATCCCAAATCGGCCACCACCTCAATTTCTTCAAAGCTTCAAAGGAATATTCCGGCCGGTTGTTTCGTAATTTGAGCTCAGGCGAAGGCGGAGAGTGAACTCCCGGATTCAAGATCCGCCATGTTTGGCCGGGATCCATGGGGTGGGCCGCTTGAGATCGCGGCGGATTCCGCCACCGACGACGACCGGAGCAGGAACCTCCAGGACTACGACAGGGCGGCGCTGTCGCGGCCGCTGGACGAGACGCAGCAGAGCTGGCTGCTCGGCCCCGGCGAGCAGAAGAAGAAGAAGTACGTCGATCTGGGTTGCGTCATCGTCAGCAGGAAGATCTTTCTCTGGACTGTGGGGACCCTTGTGGCTGCTGGATTGCTCGCGGGGCTGATCGTGCTGATCGTCAAGACGGTGCCGCGCCACCACCACCGCCCGCCGCCGCCGGACAACTACACGCTTGCCCTCAATAAGGCTCTCATGTTCTTCAACGCCCAGCGATGTATGTTACCGTTTTCCCTTTTTCCGTTATCTCTCTTGAATTTATCTCAAGCTTTATTGTAGTTTTTAGATCGGCCAGATGTGATGCACATAAGGTGTTTGTAAGTAGATCTAAGTGAGAAAGTAAGTTAATACACTAATAAATTACATACCTGAAGGTGGGAATAGAAGAAAATAGAAATAAATTATTTTAAGTAGTATTCATTTTCACTGTGAATCAGTCAATTAGGACAATATCGATTTAAATTTTGAAGATTATTATAGTTCTATTAGATGATCTCAGATCTTAAATCTCGAGACTTCACACGACTATAAGTGACAATTTAAGTCGATTTGGCTGTAGTTGTTTAATCTGTCAACTGTCTTATGTTATATTATATAAATCAAATGATTCTTATTTACAGCCGGAAAACTACCAAAGCATAATAACGTGTCATGGAGAGGAAACTCGTGTTTAAAAGACGGGGAGCCCGGCCTGTTTAAAGATCTAACTGGCGGCTTTTACGACGCCGGAGATGCAATCAAGTTCAATTTCCCTCAATCGTTCGCCATGACTATGCTGAGCTGGAGTGTGATAGAGTACGGCGCCAAATTCGAAGCAGCTGGAGAGCTTAATCACGTCAAAGAGATTATCAAGTGGGGGGCTGATTACTTCCTCAAGACTTTTAATCACACCGCCGACACGATAGATCGGATGGTAGCCCAGGTAACTTTTTTTTTTAATGTGGGCTCGTTGACAATATTGTTGGAAATTTTTATTCGTGTTTGGAACATCTTATCAAGATTAATGGGTATTAGGAGTACTAGATTATGTCGTGTTCAACATCCTTTGTTATTTTCTTTGGACTGTTTGTCTTTTACTTCGTTTTTCTTGAAATGGAAACATTCGTCTTTTTTGAGCTGCTATCCGACTTCGTACTTCCACTAGACAGTTCTTGTTGTCAATCGGGCATGCATGCTAATTTATTCTTTTAAAACCATTGTAACCTAGTCCCAAAGTCAAAAGAACGATTTTTCTTTTTTTGAGCAAACAGTTTTGGTTAAATATTTTTTTAGACTCCCACTTGTATTTTCAATTTTGTACTTTTTTTTCTAATATAATGAATCTTTCTTCTCCTTGCTTGTGTGGACGTAGCTCAACTTGGGCGAACCACGTAACTCGCCGTATCATCTTTATTTTCATGTTTTTAATTCTTGCCACTCCCATATCATAGCACCTCATGCACGAGTATAGAGTTGCTGAACATTTAACGATCAACATCACTAAAAGATCAAATTTTTAGATGAAATGGTCATTTAATTCCGCCACCCAATTAATATTTTTTAATTCTCCTCCATGGGCAGGTTGGAAAAGGAGATACGAGTGGAGGTCCAGATGATGAAAACGATCACAGTTGCTGGACTAGGCCAGAGGACATTGACTACGAAAGACCCGTTTTTCAGTGCAGCAGTTGCTCGGATCTTGCTGCAGAAATGGCCGCTGCTTTGGCTTCCGCTTCGATTGTTTTCAAGGATGAAAAGGCTTACTCCCAAAAGCTCGTCCATGGAGCAAAGACTCTGTTTAAATTCTCTAGAGATCAACGTGGGAGATACAGCGCGAGTTCCGAGGCGGCACAGTTTTATAATTCGACGAGTTATTGGGACGAGTTTGTGTGGGGTGCCACGTGGATGTATTATGCTACGGGGAATAACACGTATCTTCAGCTCGCTACAACTCCTGGTCTTGCCAAACATGCTGGTGCTTTCTGGGGAGGCCCTTCTTATGGGGTACTTAGTTGGGAGAATAAACTTGCTGGAGCTCAAGTAAGTTATTACAAGTAAAGAAATGTTTGCGTTCGGTTATTATAGTCTCGTTTCGGAATTCGATTTGATGAGCTTTTACTGATTCCCGGTGGGTTTTTTCGTTCTCGATCTAGGTACTTCTGAGTCGATTAAGGCTATTCCTTAGCCCGGGGTATCCCTACGAAGAAATCCTGAGCACATTTCACAACCAGACTAACCTATTTATGTGCTCGTTCTTACCTTATTACACATCGTTTAACCGAACAAAAGGTAACCAATTTTCCCATTACGTAATCTTTGTTGAAGAATATATATATATAGTTTCAATCTTGTTAAATTACAATTATTTTGGGGGAAATTGGACAGGTGGCTTGATCCAGTTAAATCACGGTGCGCCTCAGCCTCTTCAGTATGCAGCGAACGCAGCTTTTCTCGCCACATTGTTTAGTGATTATATGAAAGCTGCAGATACGCCTGGCTGGTATTGTGGGCCCAAGTTCTACTCGACAGATGTCCTTAGGGAATTTGCAGAGACTCAGGTACTGGAGAAACACCCTTTATTTTATGCTGCACCTGCACCACACCGGATAATATCTAACCGTACACGTGTATGTATATTACATATACATTTACTACACGTTTTACTCATATCTAGGGGTGGAACTTGAACGGAAATTGTGATTTCCGCAGATTCCGGTTCGAAATTTTGCGGATTTTTGGAACAATTTTTTTCACTCCGAATTCGGATTCTGATTTTTAAAAAAATATTAGATTCCGATATCCAATCAGATTTCAATTTCAATATTTCCGAGAATTATATTTGTATTATCGATATTATTATGCATATTTTATTATTATAGGTGACTAAAAGATTGGAATTTCCAAATTTTGCCGACTCCAATCAGAAAAAAATTCTGATTTGGAACAATTTTGTTGTTCCGACTTTCCCAAATTTTTTTGGAACGGAATTGTCCATAGTTTTCCACTTAAATTCCGCACTCCGATTTCGATTTTTGGAACAATATTATTCATTCTGAATTCCGATTCCGATTCCGATTCCGATTTTTAAATACATACCAGAGTCTGATTTCCGAAAATACTTCGGTAAACTTTGATTATTTTCCAAAAATTACACTTGTAATATCGATATTTTTATGCATTTTTTTTATTATAGGAAATTAGGAATTGTCCATAGTTTTCCACTTATGAATGTTTTTTTTGAAATTTTACGGAAGTGCTAATTCCAACCCGATTCCCACCGCTATCCCTTTTTTTTGACATGTGCATGGTAGATAGACACTGTCCGATGTATTCCACCCGATATTAACATCAACAATTAATTGTTCATTGTCTATTATCTTCATCAGATGAATTACATCCTCGGAAAAAATCCTCGAAAGATGAGTTACGTAGTGGGTTACGGGACCCACTACCCGAAGCAAGTCCACCACAGAGGCGCTTCGATACCCAAGAACAACGTCAAGTACACCTGCAAAGGTGGCCTGAAATGGAGGGACTCTACGAAGGCAAACCCCAACATTATAGTTGGGGCCATGGTCGCGGGCCCCGACCGAAATGACGGCTTCAAAGACAAACGCAATAATTACAACTATACCGAGCCGACGCTAGCTGGCAATGCAGGGCTAGTGGCCGCTCTTGTCGCTCTTTCCGGTGACACGGATGTTGGGATTGATAAGAACACCATTTTCTCGGCCGTGCCGCCCATGTTCCCGACCGCACCGCCGCCGCCAGCTCCTTGGAAGCCGTGAGCGAGAGCTTACTGCCGCCGCCATTTCTCTCTCCTACTTTCTCTCTCTACTCCTATTTTGGCTTCTGTGTTTGACTCTGGAAAGAAAGACTGATGAAAGGAAGAATGAATACACAGGAAAAAAAAGGCAGATGGAAGAGCACCTTGGGCACAGATGGAAAAACAAGTTGGAATTATGACAACCTCAAATTTTTATTTTTATTTTTATTTTATTTTTGTGTGTGATAGTATTTTGTATGTAATGAAATAAAATTATATATATTCTGTAGACAGTAGAGTTTTGAACAACAGATTTTCAGTTTGTTTATCATAATAAACTTTGCTCAAAATGTGTCACTGTACTAATTCTTGTAGGAGGTTTCAAGATTCATTGGTTGCATTCGATAAAATTCGAACGTCTCTTAGCGTTGCGTAATTTACTCAATATTTGGCAACGATAAAAATAAAAGTTTCAAAAAAATCAATGGTCAAAATGGTTACATGCTAGCCGATGCTAGTATTTTTTCCGAGCGATATTTGGGTAAACATTTTGAAAGTGAAAATAATGACTAGCTTAATATATAGAGATATAGAGATAGTTGATTATAATTGTATTGGCCGAGATTTAATGTGAAAAACAAATGGCTGCAAAATAAGAGTGTAATTGGAGAAAAAATTGTAGGGGATGACTCAAATGGAAAATTACAATATCTTTAAAACAATAACTTAATTTTGTTAAATAGAAAACTTTATAGACAATTCAACTTGGAAATTTAAAGACCCATACATATTATTAATTAATTAATTAGTTAATCAGTAGGGAATTAATCCAATTTAATTTAATCCGGTCTAATCCAATATATGTAAACAAATGAGGCCGTAGTGGATTAGGATTGATTTGAAAAAAAGTTGGCCGTAAAACAGGAAATAAAAAAATAAAAAAAAAATAAAAAAAATATATTACTAGGATTTCTCAGGTTGCCTCTAGCGTTTGTTTACTTTATATATAAAGATTAAAACACAAGGGGGTGTGGATAATTTTCTAAAACCATAAGACCTAGATGTAAATACACTTAACCTCAGGAGAGGTAGGTGTAATTTAACCTATAATCAACTATGTTGGATACGGGAACGTGGAGAAACGCGTAAATAATAAAAATATAGGGGTGCATTCATAATTTCTAAAAAAATATTATAATGTTTAATAGCATTTCACAAATTACATTATTTATTTTAGTATGAAATTAACATCTACAAAAATATTAAAACACCACTAGAAGTGAAAATGATGCATAATATTTAAGATTTTCTTTAAGCGTATGCAATTCGGAGTTTTTTATTTATAATGAAATTTGAATTTGTCCCCGAAACTTTTAAATATTTATGAAAATGGCCACCGAAACGTGAAAACACGTGTGAGTTTAAGTTTCCGTGCATCATCGATAATCATTAATGAAAAACGTGCAAATTAACCAACACGTCTTTTAAGATGAAGACAATCTTTCAATTTTCTCGTAATATCCGTAAGTCTGGTCACACACAATAACTTCTTCTTTTAATAAATAAATAAATAAATAAATAAATAATAAACTCTCATTTCAATCACACATCCCTACACACACACACACACACACACACACACACAGAATCTACAGTCAGTCCGATCATGGTGAATCATCGCTCAAGCTATTATTTTTATACCAATTTATTCCAACATAATCTTTAAACTCTTTAGTATTGAAATTCAGGCAAGTAGCGGCGGCGGCGGCGGCGGCGGCGAGGTGTCGAAGAAGCTGAAGCTCTATTCCTACTGGCGGAGCTCTTGCTCTTGCCGCGCACGAATTGCCCTAAATCTGAAAGGTCCCACTTTTATTTATTAATTAATTAATTAATTAATTTATTTTTAATTCTTAATTGAAATTGTTTGAGTAAATTAATAGGGCTGGATTACGAATACATACCGGTGAACTTGCTCAAAGATGAACAGAAATCCCCTGGTTTGATGCTTTTCCCTCTTCTCTCATTTTATTTAGGGGAAATTACAGTTTTCATCCCTCGAGTTTGCACCAATTTCACATTTGGTCCCATGTTAAAAAAAACACATTTGTCCCCACTACCATAATTAACACTTTGGTTATTCCGCAATTACGTTAATCGGTAAGTAAGCAGAAAGGGCACTGCTTGATTCCGTTAGTTTAAAGGGAAAATTGCTGAAATGTAAAAATTTTTAAAAATAAGGGACAAAGTGAAATTGGGGGAAAACTC